ACCTTAACAACTAACACGAAACCTTAACAACAAATCAATAACTATAACAAAAAAAACCTTAACCTAAACAACAAATCAATAAACATAACAAAAAACCCGTAACCATAACAACAAACCCGTAACCTTAATATCAAACCCGTAACCTTAACAACTAACACGAAACCTTAACTACAAATAAATAACTATAACAAAGAACCCTTAACCTAAACAACAAATCCGTAATCTTAACATCAAACCCGTAACCTTAACATAAAACATGTAACCTTATTAACACAGGAGGAACCCTAACAACTAATTGATAACCTTAAAAGTGAAGTTGTAAAAACATGAGATGTGAGGTAAATACTTATTTGTTACATCAATAAATGCAAAAATGGTTAAGAGTTTTTTCCTCCTCTCCCGTCAGCAGCGCGGCAATATCTGCTGACACCTTATAATTATGTACAAATGTGTCTTTGCCGCCCAAAAACTTGATGATAAAGCCTCCTAGAAAGGGAATCCCCTCGTTCAGCCTATTCCTGTATATTTCTTCTTATGAACTCATAGGGGAACTCATGTGTTTTTCCCAGGTAGAGTGGGGGTCACTTTGTAGCCGAGAAGGAGCCAACTCTGCTACCTTTTCCTGCACCTGCTCTTCCTCCTCCCCAGTCATTTCTATTATAGCCTTATCCTCTATGTTGTCTTTTTCTTTCTTCTTCTTCCCTTCAATGTAAGGGGAGACTACCCACTTGGACGCTCTTCTGCATCTCTTCCGTTTAAGGGGTGCAGCAGCGGCCACTTTCTCGCGTGCCCCCCTTACACCCCTCTTTCTCTTATTCAAAGCCCTTGAAAACCTAATAGGAGCATTTTCGTCATCAGTTGATGTGTCAGGGGGCATCCTCTAATTGCTTTATTTCCATCCCAGTGTCCTCTCTTAGAGTGTCCGTTTCCAAACAATCCATTCGAAACATAAATATTGAGAAAACTTAGCTCCTTCTATCTAAACTTAACAATTTCATAGTAACCCTAACAACTGATGCCTAAACACATGGTGAAAACGTTGCTAACCTATACAAGTTTACGTCTTCGTATCATGTCCTACGGAAGGGACATCAACCACCGGCGTTATTTTCCTTCCAGTGTCCTTGCGTTGAGTGCCTATTTCTGATAATATTCAGAGTATAAATAATCAAAACTTAACAACCAATACGTAGACATAACAACCAATCTCTAACGTATAGTGCAAAAGCAAGCTGACCTGTACAAGTTAGCAGCCCCTTCGCTGGCGGGGACACCTTCTCTCCCTCGTTTATTTCTCCTTCAAGATCCGTATCAATGCGAAAGTTCTCTGTTGGAGGTACTTCTCCTGGCAGAGCATCTTCACTCTCCTTGTGGATATCAGTAAAAAATGGTTGTGGATAAGCGCTCCTTGTTGGAGGGTCCTCGCTCTCCTTATTTGCTTCATCAAATAATGATTGATTAACATCCCCTCGTACTGTATATCAATGCCACCCATGATGGCTGGAGTGTCTGATTCAAAAAATAAACAAATGAGCTTAGGTACTTCATTGTCAAAAAAAACATAGCATCGGTTACATAATCCTAACAACTAACCTAGATACTTAAAAATCAATCTCTAACCTTGGCAATAAATCCCTAACCTTAACATTAGATCCGTAAAATTAACAATAAATTCTTAACCTTAACAAAAAATCCATATACTTAACAATCAATCTTTAAACATAACACGCAAACGTAATTGCAAGTCACATCTAACATGTACAAGTTTGCGGCTCCATCAATGAGCCAGACACCAATCCTGTAGGGCTCTTATCCTTATATACAGAGAGGGTTTTGGATTGTGCTTCGCTTAGTTCCTTTCTCAGTCTTCTATTTTGAGCAGACAGCTTAGCCACCTTCACAAAAAGAGCACTTATCTTTACACGGTCGGCAGTAATCATATCCTTGAATTTATTCTCGTTTTCATGACGTAATGCTTGGTTCATTGCCGTGATGCTCTTCCAGTAGATAACTTGCTGAGGCTATTCCATTTGCTCAACTGCCTCATTTGGCTACTCGACGTCTTCATCAATATCCTGTGGCATCACCTATGCAACAGATAGAGTATTATTAAAAGGATTAATTAATTAAAAAACAAATAAAATTCACAACTGCTAAATTCTTACATCTGCATTAATTAGGATGTTATCTTCTGCTCCCCTCTTCTTCTTGTGAAGAAGGTATCTTGGGCCACGCACCCTGTCGGCGTCTACTGCAGCCGGACCCTTAATCCTCCTCTTCTATCTCTCCCTCATCTTCTCTTTCTCTTTCCCCTGCTCCTTCCCCCACAAACCTCCCTCGATTCTTTGAAATTGGCCATGTTGTTGTGAAAGCTTTATCGTAGCTTTTCTTGCTTTAGCTACAATAGTTGCCAATCTTAAAGAACCAGAAACCTCTCTAAGTCTCACCCAATTTGTGAGGGGAGGCCTCACCGTACATCCAACTGCTGGCTTCTTGATGTCGATAAGTTCATAGTATCACAACTGCACATTAGAGAAATAAAAACTTAACAAACACCTTTATCCTTAACAATTAATAAGTAACCCTAACAATAAAAACGTAACCTTAACAACCAGACCGTAATATTAACAACTAAACCGTAACCTTGACAACCAAACTGTAACATTAACAACTAAACCCTAACCTTCACAATCAGTAATAAAATACATGATTACTTAAACAAACTAGAGGGCTACGCCCTTGCAGATATAAAGTCGTCTTCCCTGGATCAACACCCTTCAGTGCCCTCTCTATCGTATCAGATGTCTTAGTGAATATATAGGTCTCCCAAGCAGTGTTACTGACCTGTTCGATGTTGTTGACGTACTTG